TCATACTGATTCTCCTATTTCAGCCTCTCCAGTGCTGGAATTATGGGCATGCACCACCATGCCTGGTTTCAGTTCCGAGCCAGCACGGCATGTGGTACCAGGGATTGAACTCAGGTCCTTGTGTTTGACAGGCAGGCACTTAGACTGTAGAGCTATCTCCCTAGTCCCTATTTATTCATTTTGAAACAGGGCTTCACTTTGTTGCCTGGGATGATCTTGAATTACTGGACTCAACTGATCCTCCTGCTTCAGCCCACTGAGTAGCTAATATTACAGATATGCACTACCAGACCCGGCTCACCAGTATAATTGTTTATTTATATACTTATTTTATTTTGGGGGGTTCTTGAGATAAGATCTTGCTATATTCAGACTAGTCTTGAACTCACTGTGTAGCCCAGGCTGGCTTTGAACTGGTAGCAGTCCTCTTGCCTCACCCTCCCAAGTGCTAGGATTGCAGGAACACAGCACCGCTCTTGGCTTTATTTTTTATTTGTTTATTTATATTTATGCGCTAACTGTGGAGTCCAGTCCCTTGGAGATGCAGGTGAGTGCTCTACCTGTGAACTACACCGTCAGTCTACACAAATGGAACCTTTCTTTTTTGGGGGAAGGTACCAGTGATGCAACCCAGACCCTTTTATAGAGGGGGAAACTGAGGCACAGAGAAGTTAGGTTCTTTTCCAAGGCCACACAGCATGTAAGCAATCAAACCAGCTCTCCACCCAAAACCTGCATGTAGCTACAACTACTGCACTGAAAGAAAACTCAGAGCCGGACATAGAGATGCAAAACTCTAATCCAAGCACTGAGGAAGACTGAGGCAGTCAGCTCCCAAGTTGAAGTCTCACCTGGGCAAGTTAGTAAGGCCTTGTCTCTTAAGAAATGAGGGCTGGCCAAATAGCTCAGTGGATTTAAAGTGCCTGCAAGAGGCGCAGGGGCTGGGGGTTCAATTCCCGGGCCTGCTTTGCAGGGCGCTGAGACAGCAATTGAGACAGGGCGTGGTGGTGCATGCCTGTAATCCCAGCTC